CACCTATCCTCTCCTCTATCCCTCTTCTATCCGCCTCCCACTCTCTCCCTATTTATTTCAGAACCCCCTTCCCCTCCCCCTTTTCTGATGAAGGGTCTAGGCCCGAAACGTCAGCCTCTCTGCTCCTATGATGCTGCTTGGCCTGCTGTGTTCATCCAGCCCTGCACCTTGTTGTCTCGGATTCTCCAGCATCTGCAGTTCCTACTATCTCTGGATTGATAGATCCGGTTTGATTTTGTTTTGGGCTTTAACAAGGTAATCTTTCACTTAAACATAACCATGCAATTTTAACAGATTTGGTGTTAACAACAAAACAAGTTTTCTCAGCTGTTATGAAAATAGAATAAACCAAACTATTTACATGTAACACAAACTTAAGAACAGCATAGACTCCCCTTTATCCCAAAACAAACCCATACAGTAGACATAGCAGTGAAAAATGTGTTCTCTGTCACCTCTATATGCTTAATTTAACAGTGACTTCAACTCCCAGTCTGGATAATCTAACAGATTCTTACTGAACCCTTTGAATAATTGAGCTTGGGTTTTACCCTATCACTTCTGTTCTGGCATTATGACTAAATTCCTCATTCTAAAGCAAAATACACTGTTAATAAATTAAATATTTTCTCTTCTCAGAAGCAATTGGTTTACACATCCATTTTCATCCAAGACTTCTGCATAACTGCCCCATACCAGAACTAAAAGAATTGTTTTCCAAGCTATGGATGTTTTCCCTAATCAAAAAAAATTCCTGACCTCCAAAACTGGAGGTTATTACACCTGTGTTTACCTTGTTCACTCATAAACTCTTCCAGTTCACACAAAAACCTATTAGTCCTCGAAAGCTATCTCTCTTAAAGTATTTAAAAATAAATCACCATGGCTACAGAAAAACATACATGGCCATTATTAAATCACCTCAGGCACACAGATAAACTGACATGCCATTGGTTCACATTTCAAAAATCCCAACTCAAAAATAAATTATGTTAAGGTATCTCTAAATCACACACCCTACATCACACCTCTCCCATCAAAGAAAGAAAATTTATTTTAAATACATGTTTTCTTACACTATTTCTGTGTCACATGACACAGGATTAATACACCAACATTAAATATACAATTAGTTAGGCAACCATAAATTACATAGGTTATTTGGTTTCATATCACGTTCTGTGCTATCAAAAGCACATGAAGGATTATCAAATAATATGGTTGGAGAATTAAGCACCATTGAAATAATTGTAAAATGCTGTCCCAAGATCTTTCCAAGAATTTAAAAGAGCTGTGGTCCATATAAGTTCCGTGTTGTTGCTGATGTCTATTTCAAAATGATGTAGTCAGAGTAAGACTCAATGTCTCCTTCTCCATTGTAAAATGTTTTTATTGACATAAATTCAGTTTCATTGAAAAATAACTGAGGCCGTCCATCTCCATCTTGTCATCTTGCAGTAAAACAGCCCCCATTCTAATGTTGTTGGTATCAACAGCCGTTATATTCACTAGAGCTTAGAAGAATGAGAGGAAGATCTCACGCAGACCTATCAAATTCTTATAGAACAAGACATGATAAACACAAGAAGGATGTCTGGGGAGTCCAGGAATAAGTGTCACACTCTAAGGATATGGGGTAGGCCATTTAGAACTGAGATGAAGAGAAATTTCTTCACTCACAGAGTGGTGAGTTTATGGAATCCTCTGCCACAGAAAGCAGTTGAGGCCAAAATATTGAATGTTTACCAGAAGGAGTTGGAAATAGCACTTGGAGCTCAGGGGAACAAAGGGCATGGGGCAAAATCAGGAATAGGGTACTTAGTTGAATGATCAACCATGATCATATTGAATGGCAGAACAGTCTTGAAGGTTTGGATGGCCTGTTCCTGCTCCTATGTCCTATGTTTGAATGGTTTGACACTATTCAGTACAACTAAAACTGGTACTGATGTCAAAACAGCTTTTAAATGTTCAACAGCACTTTACCTTTCTTGCATCCAAACAAATTTTCAGCCAGTTTTTACAAGTTTATAAAGGTGCAGTGATAGTGCCAAGGTTTGGGACACACTTAAAATAAATCCACTCAAACCAATAAAACACTTTTCGTGCAAGTTGCAGGAAAATCTAAAATAGCCCATTCTTTCACTTCTCTCAGTGCTACTTGACCTTGTCCCAAATTATGGCCCAAATAAATCACCTTTGCCTCAGCAAATTCACTCTTTGCCAAATGTATAACCAAACTGGCTTTTTATAGCTGATTAAACAGTTCAGGCAAGTGGCATAAATGTTCTCGCCAGGTTTGCCGAAATACAAGCAAATCATTGATGTAAACAACACAATTACAGAGACCTTCAAAGACTTTATTGGTTAATCAGTGAAATGTTGCTGGTGCATTTTTCATTCCAATCAGCAAGACTTTACACTAATAAAGACCATTTGATGTTTAAAAAGGTGATTTTTCTTAGTCTATCAATTATCAGACTTTGCCAATGCCCTTTTAGAAAGTAGATTATTGTGACAAATTGTGTATGTCCAATTCAATCAATGCAGTGCTCCAGTCTAGGACAAAGTTATGAGTCTGTTTTCATTACCATATTGACATACAATAATTCAGAATCTTTGTGGCCCATCCAGTTTGTACCATCATAAGAGGTGAGCTCCATGAATTTAACCTCTTCCCTGACTTGAGCTAATCTCTCTGGATTGAGTGTGTACAGGCATTGCTTTATAAAGTGACACTCCCTTTAATTAACAAAATAAACAGCCTATTCCCAAAAATTGGATTGTAAATGTATAATAGCCTGTGTAAGTCATTTCATAGTCTGCTGGGACATAAAATATAATGCCATCTAATCTTTTAAACAGAGAATTTAAAAGCCAAGAAAACATGACCAAAAAAAATGAGGGAGAAAAGTAATTATGAGGATAAACAAACAAATAATATGAAATGGACAGTAACCACATAATTTAAAAAGGAAGAAAGGGGCTAAAATGAACATTAGCCACTTAAAGAATAAGGCTGGGAAACAATAATGGGGCACTAGAGAATGTAAGAGGAGTTGAATACATACTTTGTGTCAGTCTTCCTGGTAGAAGACACTAAGGATATTCCTAAAATATCATAGGAGCAAAGAAGTCAAGGAAATAAATATAATAAATATCACTAGAATCAAGTTATTAGGGAAACTAATGGGGCTAAAGGTCGTTAACTCTCCTGGACTGATAGGCTGCATCCTAGGATTTTATATAAAGTAGCTTCTTCTTGAAGAAAGATGGAGAAGAGCATTAATGCAGTTTATATTTGTATTGGGTCTGTGGTGGATCCACTTGTAAGGATCACGACTTACACATCATCATTATGAAGCAAGTGGAGAATGGTGATGAAATTCTGTAGGCAGCTGAATTTGAGGGCAATATTCCACAGTCTTTTTTGGTAGGCAGAGTCGAAGACCTTTGCGAGACCAAAGAAGGCCATGTGCAGAGGTTGGTACATTTCCTGTACTTTCCTTGGATTTGTCCAGCACAGAAAATCATGTCCATTGTGCCTCTTAATGGGTGGAAGCTGCATTGAGACTCAGGGAAGAACTCTTCAATTGCTCAGAGGAAACAGCTGAGGAGGATTTTCACAATGATCTTCCCCATGACAGACAGTAGGGAAATCTTTCCGTAATTTCCAGTTGGACCCGCCTCATTTCTTGAAGATGATCACAAATACACACTCTCTGAGATTTCCCAGCATCCTCTCTTCCTCCAGGCAAGGGCAATGAGGTCGTAGATTTGTGTCAAGAGTGCCTCTCTGCCGTATTTTTATACTTCATCAGGGATTCCTTCTGTGCTGGAGGCATTGTTGTTTACCAGCTGTCGGATGGCTGTTTTGATCTCACAGTGGGTTGAAGGTATGCTGAGATGACGATGAGTAGTGTAATGTGAATGGAGATAAGGAGAAACTTCTTCAGTCAAAGAGTGATGAATCTATGGAATTCACTGCCACAGAAGGCTGTGGAGGGCAGGTCATTGAGTACATTTAAGACTGAGATAGATAGGTTCTTGATTATCAAGGGGATCAAGGGTTACGGGGAGAA